CACTTGATTGTATTATTAATATAGTTTTCTTTTTGTTACAGGTGATCTTCGTTGGATTTAACAACAAACCTTTTTGATTCTCCTGCTTTTTATAATCTATGTATAAATGCATTTCTGAAGGCACACATATCAACACTAAATATGAAATATTTATATTTTAAAGTCCATAATAAATATAACATTGAATATTTGCACAGGTTTACAATAGATTTTAAATATGTTTGTTAATAAAATGTTTAATTTATTAACATATCTGTTTCAGATTTAAGACTTTAATGGATTTACTTGTCTTTTTTTTTTTTATTTTTATAATATTTCTAACAGTCATCTCAAAAGCATGTGATTTTATTTTGCTTGTTTCTATGATACGAGAAAAAAATGTAGGATATTCGAAATATCTTTGGTACAAAACTTGATGAGAAAAGGGGTGAATGAAAAAATTAGGCAACATAATCTTTATCTAACTGCAACTCCAAAATTATAGTATCCAAAAATCTGTAAAAATTCTCAGTTTAAGCTACTGTTAAAAGAATAAAGTCTACAGAGTTTCAAACTTTGGGGGCAATTATTTTATAGTTTGAATAAATAATTGATTATTTAATACCAATAACTACGTCTTATTTAGTAGGGAAACTTGTATCGTTGTGCACAGATTAGTTTAAAATTTAAATAAAGACTTGAAACTTGCGGTATATTTTTTTTTTATTTTTTTTTTTTAACTGTTAGGGGCCTCTGGGAGCATAAAAATTCATAAATTCCTAATATATGAAACGATTCTAATATGAACGTTAATTATCTATGGGGCATTTCATGTCAAATCGACCATTTTTTACCCCGAGTCTTTTCGATTTTACTGAAACTATTTTATCATTTTTAACTTCGTAAAAAAACTGTTTTCCAAAAAGTACATTTAAAAATAAAAAATTTTAAAAATAAACGTCTCGATAAGTCTGTTCTTGACAAAGTTATGGTTATTTGAAATAACAATGGAACGAAAATTTTGAATTTTTGAAAAATTTGTAATTTCTTTTGGGTTGGCCAAAAAAATCTGAAAAAATTCGTCGGGGTTTCTTCGGGGTCAAAAGCTGTCGATTTGACGTGGAATACCCCATATATATTCATCTATATATACTTTTTAACGATGCACCTTTGATATATAATTTATATTTCTTAATAATACATTAGCGATACTTGTCTATTATTATTATTATTATTATTGTTATTATTATTATTATTATTATTATTATTATTATTATTATTATTATTATTACTATTATTTATTATTATTGTTATCATTAATATTATTATTATATGTGTAAGTCTTTGGCTCATACTTTCTTGCCAAAAAAACATAGAAAGTTTTTTTTCACCTATGTGAATGATTTATTTTCCGCTTGTCATTAACAAAAGTATTTTAATGAATGAAATATGTAAAAGATTAGAAAATCATTTTTCATGTCTACGTATAATTGGTTATGATCAATTAGGCTTAATTTCTTTTTTCCTTTTTCTTTTTTTAAACTCGTATAAGATTACTTACGAAAGGAACTTGATACGTCCACCGATATATGTAAAATTCGAACATTATTTTCGTTATTTCTTTTTTTCTTTTCTTTTGTTCTTTTTTTATCTTTCTTTCTATAATTATTTTTTTTCGTTTTTTTTTCTCTATAATTATTTACATATGAAAGACACAGCTCTATTAGTTTATACTAACGATACTAATAATTATTAATACATATACATAAAATGTTCAAGTGTGTGTATCACATTAATTATAACTTTAGATTACGTTCTCTCAAACGCATTTTTCAATATACTTTAATATATATATATATATATTTTCATTAAATTTATATTTAATATATCGTTTAATATTGTTTAGAATATGTAAAGTCGTTTTTTTTACTTTTTCAGCAAATATTGCAGTTATTATTTTATTTTCAAAGTAAATTATGCACAGGAAATGCATAATGTAATTTTATAATAAATTCAAATAATAATAATAATATATTAATGTATTTCGAGAGTGCATCTATAAAAGGAAAAATTTTGATTTTCTATTATCATTTTCTTTCACGTTTAACTTTTGCATCCTATAATTTATCTAATTTTTTATATTTATGTACAAAACATATTAACAAATAATTTACTAAATTTGTTTATGTTCTTACTTAATATACATTAATATATGTATTTATTTTGACTAGGTCTTTGATTGAACAGCTAACGATTGTTTGGCACAATAAATATCAAATTTCATTCTTAAAAACTAGGATTATAGATCGTTAACGGTCATTGTTTTGATCTTTGCAGTATCTTACCACGTGATCACGTCCTTATTAATCTATTACGCGCGAATTACGATTTTAATTATGTATTATAACGGCACAATATTTTTAATAGTAAATTTCGTGCTTTCTTTTTATTTATATAATTATTATTATTTATTAATTAATTCATTATATTAAATATATTTGAAATTCGATCATTCTCGAATAGGAATATTATTTTTGTTAAGCTGTCTCTTTCTCATATAACGAAAAATGTTTAATTCAAATTTGAAGGAATTTTTTTGTCGAGATGATTTTCAAACGTTAAAATTTATTTTCAATCGTTGACCGTACAACGATACTTTCTCTCTCTCTCTCTGATTTAAAATTGATAGGAAGAAAAGTAGTTCATCTTCACGATTACGAATAATTTTTTATATTCTTTTTTTCTGTATTATTATTCTTATTCATATTAAAATCTTTTCGTACGAAAAGTTAACGTAACTTTTCGATATTATATTATCAACAATTAATATTCCATTTACTATTTAATGTATATATGTATATATCTTAAAATTTACATAATTATTTTCAAAATTTTTCCTTCTACGATTAGTCAAAAAAATTTTATTATCGCCGGCAGTTACATTTATGTACATATATATTTTATATATGTATATATAAGCCAGTTATTATGAAAGTAGTTTAAATTATTTTTAATATTAAAAAAGCATATTTTATCGTAAGTTATTGTTTAACTATTAAAATTTAATAAAAGAAAATTATTTTTCAATAATAAATATACTTATACGAGAAATAACAAAATGTTAATGTTAGTGTATGTGAAAATATTTCATAATAAAAATGTATAAATAACTTAGAATCATTTTAATAATTGCTGGCTAATATATAAATAAATAAATAAATAAATAAATAAATGTATATATAATAGATTCTTGAACAAATTATACAATATTGTTAATCCCAAAATAAAATTTTTCATATTTTCTTAAGTGATGTAACTACGTTAATAACTTCATGAGAACATGACATTTTACATTTACACATGTAGTACTCTATTACAACACACGTTCATTTTCGTTGCAATTACAAAGTTCAACATGATATTTTTATTATATTAATATTTCTTTCTCATATCTTTTAATTGAAATCTACCGTCCATTATATTTCTTTTGGCACGTCGATATATTGACGTTTTCATTTATTTTACTTTTTTTAAATTTTATATTTTTTCTTCGTTTATTTTTATTTTTTTTTTTCTTATAAAATAATTATCTCATATTATTCGCAATTATGTATACGTAATAATATATACTAAAAGAATGCGAATATATTTTATTTATTTATATTTTTTTTTGTAAAGAAAGCTATCAATGATTTGATATTATTTACAATATGTAAGTATATGCATATATATAAGGTGTCTGAAGTTTTTCTGATCAAACGGATTAAATGTATTCTACGCATAAAAATACGAAGAGAAAAAGAATGGTATATAAATAATATATTACATATTCGTGCATAGATTACATTGACATCGTTTGATTGAAAACGTTTCGAACACACTTTGCATATATATGCTATGCTATGCAAATTTGATTTTCTCATATATATATATAGACACAATTATTATTATTATTATGACATAATTATTTATTTAATAAGATATTTTTTTCCTTTGATTTTCCATTTTCTAATATTTTAATATATTCTATCAGTAATGTTATTATCTCGGTACAAAAACAGCGGTACTCATCAAGATGACGCAAATAGAAATATGAGAAATACAGCCGATTCACAGAAGAAATGTTGTTATTTTAAAATCGATGTTCGTTGAAAATATTTCAAAGTCTTATTTATTATATTAAACGCGCGTATAATTCATAAACTTCATTTTCTTTCTTTCTTTTTCCCCGATATGCAACGGTATTAATGTTTTTGCCAAACAAAAAATATGTGAATATATCGAAAGAAAGCAAAATAAAAAAAAAGTTAGAAATTTTCTTTACACTTATTAATTAATCATTCTCACTACAAATATAGACACGATCATCATTAATGATAGGACTAAAAACTATCGTTATCATCATCATCATCATCTTCATTATTATTAATATTATTATTATTCATCGTGTATTTTTAATTTTCTTCTCTTATCTAGCAATTCTTATCGTGCTGCAAGTATTTTCTTTTTTTTTTTATTTTCCTTTTCAATTTAGCCTCTACTAATTTCTTTGTACAATATCGTCTTAAATGATTAACGACGTGATAATTAATAATATTTGCATATAACTCGATTGAAAAATCAATTTAATATCGTATATATATATATATTATTAATCTGTAAATATTTTACATGGAATTTTCTCCGAATAAATGAATGATTAGTAAAAAAAAAAAAATTAAAAAAAATTATTTCAAATATTATAAATTATTTCTCGTTAAAAATTAATTCAATCTTTTTTTATCGATCATGTTTATCTTTCCCTATTTTTTTTCTTTAATTCTTCTGAAATCTTTATTAGAAAATGACAAATTTTTATGTAAAATATCGCTTACGAATGTGAACGTTTGGATTATTAGATAATATACGTACGAATAAACGCTATCGATTAGATCAATTGATATCATAAAATTTTTATGGAAAATCCTTCCGATCCATTTTTATCAATTAAAATAGTAAAAAAAGAGATCTTTGTATAGTATTTTTATTTTTTTTTTTAATTTTTTTTTTTTTACTCAAGAGTAGTAAAAAAATTTCTACTCGAGTATATAGATATCATAATCGTAATCATATAAATCGATGAAAGTTTAGAAACGATTTAAACGTCGTCGATCACTATGATGAAAATTCGGAGAAGGTTGGTGATGCACTGTAGATAAATCCAACAGGAGTTTCCTCGTTCAATTTCGTTGAAACGTCTATTTTTTCGGAGATACTGTTGATCGGTGTTGTTGTCTAAAATAAAAAAAAATAAAACAAAAAGAAATTAACAAAGTTTTTAAGCAATTTAGAATAAGTCATATTTATAGGATATATATGTATATCGGATACATATTTAAAGGATTGGTATATATTTTAAAAGAAAAAAAAAATTTGGTGTAATCCTTACAAATAGATAGAAACAAATTTGTTAAGTACCTGTTCAAGATCACAACAGTTATCCTCCTCTTCCTCCTCCTCGTCAGAACTCGGCACATCTGGTGACTCGGATACTTCACTAACGATCGAGAGTTTTTCTGTTTTTTTAGTGATTTCCTCATCGACATACACCTCCACCTCGGTCTCATGCAACTTTTGCTGATGCTCTGGACAAGGTGGGAGGTGTATGAGAATGACCTAGCTAACTGATGCTGCTTCTTCGACTGACGGGCTTGCAAGTGCTTGAGTTTCACCTAATTGTAAATTGTCGAAACAAAATTTTATTAATGAAAAATAACAAAGGAAAAAGAAAACGTTATTTATCTCTGAGAATTGTAATGAGAATAAAATTTGTTTTTTCTTCTTTTTTTTTTCTTTCTTGTTTGTGTTTTTTTTCTGCATATGTTTTTCTTCAGTTACCATTTGCATGTTTTTGCTCACTTCGAGATGCACGCGATGGGAGTGGACTGCTACGTGAACCCGAGGTCATACTTTGCATCGTTTGACTTCTTGCACCGGAAAATCGTGTCATGAATGTTTGTCTGTTAGCACTGTGTACACCTCCTGGCTGTATCGTATTCAAAAAGAAACATTAATAGGAAAAATGTTAATGTCGATATTTTAAATATTCATAATTGCTTCCTTTTGTCTTTTATTTTTTATTAACCCTTTGAGTACTGCATTATTTTTAGCTTATGTATTTTGTAGAAACGGAATAATCTATTATCTGATAAGTAATTAGATAGTTTTTGTTTCTTACATAATTCTGATGTTACATGATTCAAAACGCAAAATAATATTACATTATTTGCATTTGCATTGACAATCACACGTATATGCTTTGATAGTATCCACACTGGCAATTTTTAATCAAACGCATATGACTCCATAGCAGTCAAAGAATTAATAAATTGATAATAATCTAGATTTAATTTATCATAATTGATTGATTAATTTATTTGTTGTACTCACGTGAGGACCAGGTCTAACGTTCTTGTACGGTTGAAATAATACAAGATAAACCTTAGGTGTGAACAAACAACCAAGTGCAACGGATGCTGAGATGTTGATACACATACACATGCTTGCTATTTGAACCTGTACCAATAATATCCAATGAAATACTTATTTTTTGCAAATGATTATTATAAACAAATTATCAAATACTTGGTTACCTTGTAATCGTTTTTCGATCCAAAATATATTGGAACAAATGCTAGCCAGACTATGCAAGTCGAGTACATGGTAAAACCAATGTACTTAGCTTCGTTAAAATTCTCCGGTATTTTTCTTGTTTTAAATGCGTACAATGTACACATCAATATTAGGAACATATTGTACACTAGAGACATCATTAATGAGAACGTCGAGACACGACACGTCAATACAGCTGATAACGGATATGGATGGATCTCTGTTGTGTCAGGTGGTTCAATAATTAGCCAAACTATGGCACCGATCAGTTGGACTGCAGTGATCCCTACAAAAACGGGAGTCACGTAATTCAGGATCAAGCTCGAACGGCACGAACGGCCAACGTGTGACTAACCCTATCAACTTTGTTTGATTTAATAATGCGGAAAGATCTGTCAGATAAAACTTTATTTATACGATATATCAATTTATATTTGTGTTTGCATTTTGTTACTCGTTTAATTCAATTAATTTCTACGAATGTATGTCATGTTCTCAATTTTACGACTGTAGTTTAACTTTTTTTTTGTTTTTTGTTTTTGTAGGATAAAAGAGTGGATGAAAGGATGAGGTATCCATGATTGATAATCTTCCAAATTTTATCCGAAGATCGATCAATCAGTTTAGATAGCACGTACTCACCGATAGCAATAACAACTTGACTCTTCGGCGAAGTATAGGATGGTCTTTTGATACTTTTAGTACCTTGATTGAATATACGTGATATACGATTAGTTTTAGTAAGTATAGCGCTGTAACAAATGCTCAAACATAGTCCTAGACCAATACGAAGGTACGTGCAATTCCATGTTGTCGGTTTGCTCAGTATAACGAAACTCATTCCATAACAAGATAAAATACCGACGAGTAATACGTAGCATAATTCACGACCTGAAGCCATGATCACTGGTGTACGATTGAATCTGATTAAATGGAAAAAATTAAAAATTGTAGTAGTAGTAGTAGTATTTTAGTTAATTTATAAATTAATTATATGTTTTTTTTTTAATGATTATTATATCGTATTGTCGACTTCTTTTTCAAGTATTCGTTAAGAGTAAAGAATGTGTAATTATTAGGTAAGGTTCAATCGATTCATAATTACTATCCATTGCAATCCTCTTTCAAATGATTTTTCTTTTCAATTTTCTTTTTATTTTTTTTTCTTCAATCCCATGACATCGATGGGATATCGTCTTCATTATATTCCAGTTCATGAATCGATTTTTTTTATTATTTATTCTTTTTTAGATAGTTTCTCTCTCTCTCTCTCTCAATTTTTTATTTTCTAACGAATTAAATGAAATCATTATTTTTATAGACTTACCGAATAAATACAAAGGTAGTGAAAAGTGTACTGAGAATTCCAATGGATGCGAACACAAGTGGTACTAATGCCCAAGGACTAGTCCATGATATAACTTCGGCTGTTAGTTTAATACAACTTGTTTTTGTTTCATCGGGTGCATAACCAGGTCCACAGCTGCTGCAGGTATCGTTAAACACGTAAGCATCTTCTCTACAAGCTACACATCTCCAACAACATGCCTCCTTTGTAAGAGAAATATAATTAAAGATTAATTGTGTAACTAATATTATACGATATTTCTACGACACGTTAAACACGTTTATCATTATAGTTTAATAGATTTTAATAACAATTAAAACATTCATTATATAAAAATATATTCAATTTTACAAATTAGAAAAATTCCTTTAAAAAACAGATCTATTGTATTTAAAATTAACTATATTTTATCAACAAATTTATTTTTTAACTCCTAATATGTATTATTAAATAATATGCAATTTTCGATGTTAACTTTCACGAGTTAAATTCGTTATATTTAAAATTAAAATTGCAATGACTAACGATCAAGTCAGACTCTAATCATAATTTAATTTAAAATTAGTTGGGTAATCACGAGAAAATAATTGCTATCCACAGGTGGTAAAGATCATAATGCAAAAGGTTTTCTTTTTTCTACTAAAAAAAAAAAGAAAAAAAAATAACTTCACACATTAGAGACCTCAAACGATGACGAAAACTACGAGGTTAATTAGCAACGTGTTATTCAAAGAGAGAGACAGAGAGAAAAAAACAGAAGGAGAGAAACTGCTTCAGAATAACGACTCGTTTTACATTTCTTCCGGAGAATTTCATACCCTTTTCTTCCTCGAGTTTTCGTGCTCAAGCATATTACCTTTTTTTTATTTTTTATTTTTTTTCTAACCAGCCTAAAGGGATGACTTTTAAAGGTTACAAAAAAAAATCTCGACAGTTCTTTTTGATCTTTTCCTCTTCAGTGTCTGTTTCATTTTCTTCTATTTTTTTGTTCTCTCATATGTGTGTGTATATGCATGAGAGTGTATTTGTATATTTTATTTGATCATTTCTCTTACCTGGAAATTTCTCACATGACCTAAGGGACAATTATCGCTACATGAACTTCTTGGTACATGCAATTCACCAGCTCCCGTTGCCCATCTGGTCATATTGATATCAAAAGCCAATCTAACGATTTGAGAGAGAAAAAAAAAGAAAAAAAGAAATAGAGAGAAACAAAAAAAAAACAAAGAGAATAAAGTGATAATTAATATTATCCATTACCGAGTAAATCAGGGATCTTTATAGGACACACACATGCAGCCCCTTTAACGTTATAATTTATTTTAATTTAACCCTTTGAAGTGATGAATAATTTTAATTGAAATATTTTGTGGGAAATTCGCGGAATTAGTTTATTATCTAATAATAAATTATATTTAATAATTAAAGTTTTTGTTTATTAATATTATTTTCATATGATACAAAATTCAAAATAATAATCAATACGCAAAACCAACGTTACATTATTTTATTGTACATTAAGATTGACAAACACGTATAATGCTGTTATTATTATTATTATTATTATTATTATTATTATTATTATTATTATTATTATTATTATTACATAGCACAGTCAAAGGGTTAATTTATTACAACGTTAGGGAGTAGATTTTTATTTGAGAGATTTATTTTTAATAAAATATCTATTCTATTTAAATGTCTTATCAATTGTTGATTTAAAAATTCAAACTATACTCCTGAATAGATTGAGAAATGTTTCTTTATAAGAAAAAAAAAAGAGACAAAATGAAAAATAAAAAATATATGAGAAAATAAAAAAAAAGGAAGATGATAAAACTTACTCCTCTTTCCAGGTTCCAATCAGAGTGTAATCGAAACGATTCTCTTCGTTACGTTGATATTGATAAATATTATAAAACCCATAGGCGTCGCCGTTGGTATTAAATTTAATTTCTGTACCTTGACGACCTGTAAAAAAGAAAAAGAAGAAGAAGAAGAAGAAGAAAAAGAAGAAGAAAATAATAAAGGAAAAGTTAAAAAGACAAATTTAATCTTATGAATAGTGATGACAAAAATAAAACTTTTTCTTGTTAAAATAATAAATCAATATGCGTTTTCCCATAAAGTATATATATGTGTTAGTGTTTATGTGTATGTGTGTACGGTGTTATATACAAAGTGAAAATTATGCGTGAATCCTTACCAATGAAGGTAACGTTTCGAATATATTGCAGAAGTTGTTGGCCATCGGGTGCAGGTTTCAAAGCTTCGCAAACATAATGCATTCCAGGAAATTCATTTACGCATTCTTCTTCTATCACGTTGTGAACCCCGTGAGCCATTGCATACACAGCATCGACTGTGTGAATAATAAAATTGAATAATAAATAAAAATATGAAAAAGAAGAAGAAGAAGAAGAGAAAGAGGAAGAGGAAGAGAAAGGTGAAGGATAACGAGAAAAGAAAAAATAATTAAAATATTATATATTCGATGCGTTTCGAACGAACAAAAACGTTTTTCGTTGAGTTAATTATATATGTAAAAAGAAAAATTAAAAAAAAGGAAAAAGAAATATTATCTTCCTTTGATTGAAAGAAACAAAAAGACAAATGAAGAAAAAATAAAATAATTAGGTCAGGATTTTTAACGAGTAGTAAAGTCTCAAGAATTAGTCGGGTTAAGGGCTTTGCTTCGAGCTATTTTAAAAAGAGACAAAGGAGGTACGATTGTAAGATGATAAGAAGAATAAAAAAATATAATATATAATATTTAACTATGTGTGTGTTAGCTTTGTTTCAAGCTAATCGTCTATTTGATTACCAAAAGAATTGTCATAATTATTTTTAATAATTATTATGATGATTATTATAATTATATTATATTATAATCCTCACACAATGTTAAATAATACAATTGAAAATAATAAAAAAATACATTTCTTTATAAAAATATTATTCATTACTATAACTTTTATACTATCCAATAAATTAATGGGTTGTTTCCCCCCTCCCTCGTTACATTTATTAAGAAAAAAATTGCACTAATATATTATAGAAAAATTTATATATTATTTATATTTTAAAATTATTATATATTTTATTTAAATAACTTCTTGCACACATAGATATTATTTTATTATGAATTTGAATGAAATAATAAAAATGTATATTTACCAACGAAAGGTACTAGCCCTTCTTGCTCGTAATCTTTAAGTTCTTCAGTACCGGTACATATCGTCGTTTTCTCGGTAGAAGCATTTTTACTAAAAGTGCATTTATGATGTTGCGACCAGAATTCACGGAACCATATATTCCTACAATTTACTATCTTTCCAGGCAATGATTCATGTGGTACATTACTTTCAGTCTGTCCTTGACATTCATTAGCCATTCTTGGACGAAGATTCAAATAATATTCGTCAAAACCTTTAAAATGTAATAATAATCTTAACCGATCAAATAAATTTTAATATTAATAGATAACAAAAAATAATTGTTAAAATATTAAAAAAAAAAAAACTTTTAACTTTGTTTAACAATGTAATTAGTCTAAAAAATTACTTATGTTTGGACAAGTTAATCGAGTAAGATCGATAAAAAAAAAACAGATAAAATTACCTTGAAGGGCAGTCCTAAAGGGTAGTATAGTAATAGCACCCTCTGCAGCAAATTCTTGATCTCGAACCGGATAAACTTTAGCACCCCAGGAGTCACTACCAACCCACATGAAATGACCCGTACGATTGGCTCTCACCGTAGCTTGAAGAAGTTTTCTGAAATATAACAGATGACAAGAATTATATCTTACTTAGATAAAATAAACTATCCTTCTCTCTCATCTGTATGTTTCTTACAACTCATCCATTTATCTTATCTATATCTATTCATTCATTCATTCATTAATCTTCTCACATTCATTAATTCATGAATTTATTAAAAAATTAATCCATTCATTTGTTGAATCATTCATTTATTTTCTTCTTTATGTAAATAAGATTAATTTCAAATATAATTTTTTTAGATTTATTATATGTACATTAAAATATTCATAATATTTCTGAGAAAATAATATATATATATATGTATATGTATATTTAATCCATAATACTCTAGTATATACAGGAAGCTAAAAGCTAAACAGATAGTGAGAGATAGAGACAGAATTAAAGCCATTAGTGTTGAGAAGCTTTGTAAAACATTTCCATGGTAACACCAAGCTTATTCTCACTACTTAAGTATATACATTCATATTATCTATATATGTGTTTATATATATATATGTATCTAGGATCATCTATGATACTTCAGTCATTATAGTCTTCAGATTAGTTTCTCGAATGGGAAACGCCATGACAGGAAGAGGGATGAGAGTGAAAATAAGGAGGAAAGAGGGGGTGGGGGTAGGATAAAGGAAGGGATGAGCCAACTTGACAATAACTAGTAGGAGTATATATATATAGCAAAAGTTATTATTATTAACTGATAAAATTACTTTGATAATAGATGTGAACAGCCTCAAGTGCGATAGAATATGTTTATTATCATCTAACTTTTAATCAAAATTGAATGATACGCGTAACTTGACAAATTTCAATCTTAAATGATGATATTCTATTATTTTCAAACAATAGTAGTATAGTCTTTAAATTTATATCATGAGATTTTTCCATTTTTCTTTTATTACTAGATGGATGAAAATAGTCAAGCAAAAGTAATGAATATAATGTTATCTATAGGTAGTAATACGATACGAGCACGGATATGAAAAAAGAAACACGAAAAGTAAAAGAATGAAAGAGAGAGAGAGAGAGAGAGAGAGAGAGAGAGAGAGAAGATTTGAAATCTGTAAACTTATATCGACTTATCAAGAACGGTCCAACGAAATCGAATTCAAGAAGTAATGGCTTTCAACCGAGGTAGGTAAGTAAGTACACACGTATATATGTATATATGTATATATGTATATGTATATATATATATAGATATATACAGTACTTAGATACATATGTCATAAGACAAGATTCAGAAGAACTATTTTAGAAATGATTTACTTCTTCGAATGTTATTTCCAAGGAATGGAAGATATAATAACTAAGGTAACGTTCATGGATACACCATAAATGTATATATATATAATATTTATAAAAACAATAATATGATCTTGAAAGAAAGAATTATTTTCTATTTTTTATTTCTTTTTTTTCTTTTTCTTTCCTCTTTTTTTATATCAATATAAGAATATTTATATGTAATAAATCTAATTGGAAAATCATAATATGTATGTATGTGTATTATGTTAGGGTTTAAAAAAATGATAATATGTGTGTGAATGTGTAACTAGGGAAAACAGATAATAATATCTCAAAGTTTCTAACAACAGAGAGTTTCTAACATTAGAGTCGAATAATTCAATCACGCTGCTTTCACGTCCAGTATGGTTTCGAACTATCAAAATGAGGCTAGAGAGAAAGTGGGGGTTGAGGGTTTGAGGATAAGAGAGAAAGAGGGAGAGAGAGAGAGAGAGTGAGTGAACTAACAAATGAGATCAATTTCGACCACATATCGATGTTCTCGAGGAAACATGAACGTGTTTCACGGTTCACCTATAACATTGAGTTAACAATCCGACACTTTGATTAATAAATCTAATAACTTTGGAACTTTCCAAGAATGTTAATGAAGATGATTACAATGAAGAAATATTTGCGTATGAATTTACTTTATAAATTTTGTGTGTGTGTGTGTGTGTGTGTGTGTGTGTGTGTGTGTGTGTGTGTGTGTGTGTGTGTGTGTGTGTGTGTCATGTGAGGGATAGATAGAGAATTTTCTTTAGGATAATATGTAACATTTTGATAATATATAATTTAGTATCACGAATGAAATGCGTGGTAAGTGTATTGGGGATGCTAGCTAGCTAATTGAATCCCCAACACACAGAGAAGACAAATTGAACCTCGTTCGGTTTATTTATTTCCCTAGGATCGATCTTCTTATTCTTCTTCTTTTTTTGATAGTGTTTCTTTTTTATTTTGTTCTTCCCTTGTCTTTTTATATAACATCAATCACATTTTTTTCAAAAGTATAATTGATTAATATTGATTAATAAGTTATTACACTTACAAGATAGTACGACATTTCTAAAAACATAAAATATATCTTATAATTTATCAATACAACATAAAATAAAAATTTCTATATGATATATCCATGTAATTTGTCAATATAATATATTTGATATGATATATCTACCAATATGATATTAATTAATAAATTATTAAACTTCTAAGATAGTACGACATCTATAAAAAAAAAAAAAAAAACATGAAACATATTCAATATATTATTTTACAATTTAACAAATATTAAAAATCCTCATAACTCTTGTATTCTATTATTAACTATCGATGTAAATATTTTTAAATAAAAATACGAACATGATATAGTGAATAGAGAAAATATTTCTTACTTTACTTTTAAACAAATCAAATAAATATGATTTCTCTTTCTCTCTTTCTCTCTTTCTCTCTCTTCTTTCCTTATATGTATGTATATCAGGTAAACATATGTATTTTAGATTTATATTAGATACACCTAGAAAAATAAATATTTCTCGGTTTAAAAAGAAGAAAAAGAAGAAGAAGAAATAAAAGAAAAAGTCATAGATGTTTTTTTTTTATGGTAGGAAATAAGTAGAAGAAGCAGATACCTTTTAAAGATTCTTGTTTTATTTTAGTAAACAGTGGCTCTTTGCTAGGTAATCCTTTGAACGAGAAGGGAAGTCGGTCTCGATACCCTTTCGAAAAAGGGGATGACGATACTAAGAAGACTGTATATCACGACGTGTTTGGGCAATCGATTTGGAGGACGATATCGGGGTCACTGGATTACTATCCGAGCAAAGGGGAATAAGTACCCTCTTCTCTTACTCCTTCTATTTATTTCTCTCTCTCTCTCTCTCTCTTTAACTCCCATTGTTTTCTTCGTCACAAGAAGAACAAGAGGGCCAAGCCAAGTTAAGGACGAAGAAAGGGCGTGTGTAGTACAGTGTGTAAACTCGGACTTCGATCTTTTATACTCCTTTTTTTTCCTCTTCATCATCTCTACCTTTTTCTTTTTTTTTTAAATATTTTTCTTTACCAGTACTATTACGCTACTGTTATTATTACTCTCTCTCTCTCTCTCTCACTTTCTGTTTCTTTTGTTTATTCTTTTAGTGTATATATGTATATATATATATGTATATATACATAAAATAGATCAATGTTTGTACCAGTGTTTACTCTCGAATAAAATTCTCAAGAAATACACCCTATATATAATACAAATCGTGCACACAAGTTCACTATATTTGATATATTATATCAAGTTGGTAAAGTTTTATTTTTTTTTTTTTAATGTTTATTCCAAGTGATATAAATTTTGTTGATAAATGTACTACACGCGTATACAAGATAAATTTAAAATTCTCGAATAATATTTTTTGTCACGCCCTTAGCCACATATGTGGACGTTACTGTATGCGAGTTTTTTCTTTCTATAAGTTTTTCTCGCAATATTATAATAACTGTCTAATGTAAGCTACCATCGGCGAATTTGCCTGCGGCTGTTAAATTATTGTTAAGTTTGTGCAATCATTATACCAAAGCTAATGTACAATAGCGAGCCTACCCTTTCTATCGGGTCATGTTATTGTATTATTGTTCCTATATGTTTAATTGTATGATTTTTGTTAGTAGTTTAATTTGTATCAGTTTATATGTGACTGTTACTGTATCTTTTCAACAAATAAAAAATTTTATAAAAAAAAAAATATTTGGACGTTTAGTTTTTTATAATTATAGTTAATGTCAATAATAAATAGAACAAAAATTTGATAACTCAATTAGAGAAAGTAAACATTTTTTGATTTGGTTGCACTAGTAATGGTTATTTACAATGTACAGTCAAAAAAAAAAAGAAAACAAACAATAATATTAAGTTATTTTTTTCTCGCCATAAAAAAATCGTCCCTGATGAATTAACTTTGAGAGTTTTACTTTATACGTACATAATTATACACCGCGTATGATTGAAATTGCAATTAATTTTTATAGATTTATCCCAAATTTCTCATAAATCTTATCAGATGAACAAATAAAAAAATAGTTATATATAGGATAAATAAAAACTTCGTTAATCGTCTTGCAAAAAGGTTCATTTTTTTCTTTTTGATTTTGATTTTCTTTCTTTCCTTTCTACTTCTTTTCTCTCTCTCTCTCTCTCTCTCTGTTTTATTTTGGATTACGTTAGGGATCGAAATTATTCGTAAAAGTTTAGAGAACGAGTAAAAAGGGATACGAAGCGATAACGGAGGAGTTTTCAATCCTTTGTAATGCAAAAACTGTTGCATTTGTTCGATGGAATATCGTACGCGTAAGCAAGAGAAAAAAAGCACGGGCATATATAAATAAAGAGTGATTTTTCTTCGACAAAAAGATATAGGAGACACACACAAAAATAATAATAATAATAATAAAAGAAAAAAGATACAAGAATATAAAGAAAATAGAAGAAAAGGAAGGGAGGAAGGAAAGGGAGGAAGAAAAGGATAGAGATAAAGAAGGTACTGGGTAGAAGATATCAGTGTCGATAGGAAAACCCTTCGAGGAAGGTTTGAAATTTAAAGTCGGTAGGTGGAAAAAGAATGTTGCTTCCCGCAGTAGAAGTAGCAGCACCAGCAGCCGGTTTGCTTCGATATTTGGGTAGTTGCCAGAAAAAAAAAATTGAATAAAAAACGAAAGTTGAATATACACATATGTCTGACTGGTGCAAAAGTTTATATGTGTGCGTATGTATTATATATAATATATATAGGTTTTATGAAAACCGCTAACACCACAGTGGCGACCTACCTAAAAGTAGTTTTTCTTTGATAACATATATTAAAGATTCAAATAAATTTAAAAAAGAAAGAAAGGGAGAGAGAGAGAAAATATTCATTGTCTAAATATTAATATGAGCTATTTGTTCTAAAATTAATAATATTTTAACATGAAATAAAATGAATAATTATTTCGTACAAATTACAATTGTTACCAATACAATATA